GGGGTTGCACAGGGGGTGCGGCCTCTATGCGTTGCAGGCAAGGCGGGCGTGTGGCACCTTCTCGACACCAGAGGATTGCGCAGGGGCTGCGGTCTTCAGGCGTTGCAGGCGCATCAGGCACGACAAGCGCGGCACTTTCTCGACACCGGAAGGGTTGCGCAGGGGGGGGCTGTCTCTATGCGGTTGCAGGCTCGCAGAGCACGGCAGGCGTGGCACATTCTCGACACCAGAGGGGGTGCGCAGGGGCGCGGTGTGTATGTGTTGCAGGCACTGCGGGCGTGGCAGTTTTTCGACACCAGAGGGCTGCGCAGGGGGTGCAGTCTCTATGCGTCGCAAGCGCACGAGGCACGACAAGCGCGGCACTTTCTCGACACCAGAGGAGTTGCGCAGGGGGGGGGGTCTCTATGCGTTGCAGGCTCGCATGTCACGGCAGGCGTGACACCTTCTCGACACCAGAGGGGGTGCGCGGGGGGTGCGGCCTCTATGCGTCGCAAACGCGCAGGGCACGGCAGGCGCGGCACTCTCTCGACGCCAGAGCGGGTGCGCAGAGGGGTGTGGCCTCTATGCGCTCCAGGCTCTCAAGGCACGGCAGGCGTGGCACTTCCTCGACACCAGAATGGGTCCGTGCGCGCTCGATCTTGCTCGGCGCTGTCCAGGGTGCCCCTGGGCTAGGTTTTGCCGACGAATAGCCCGGGGCTCTCTCAGGTGCTAATGGGGGCCGAGATAACTGCCGGTTTTTCGGATCCCGCGTCCCTCTCATCAGAAAGTCGTAGGTTCCACGTCCCTCGAGGTCCGCGATCACATCTAACCTTTCCTATGTTTGCAAACATGTTACTTGCCGGGGCTTGCGCCAAGAGCGCAATGGCTCGCGCTCGGCAGTGACGGGTTCCATGTTTTGGGGCCCCTTCTGAGGCGGCGCGCTTCTGCCTTGCAGTTGTCGCGGTTCCTGTCAAAATCCTTGAACCAAAATGGATTGAGCCAAAGGGAACCCGCGCAAATTGGGGGCGGAAGAAATGGTGGTGGTGGTGGTGGCGGAGGAACAGGAAGATGAGCAGGACGAAGAGGAGGAAGGAGGAGAAAGAGGAGGAGGAAGATGGAGGAGCAGCAGTAGGAGCAGGAGCAGGAGGAGCGGGGGGAGTAAGAGGACCAAGCGCAGGAGGAGGAGGGGAAAGGAGGGGAACGACAACGACAAGGATAGAACCGAATCAAGAAATGTGTCCCGCGCTGTGGTGAGATCGCCAATCTGCGCAACGGGAAGAAAGCACCAACCCCCAAAATAAGGCAACGATTCGCGGGAGGGGCGCAGCGCGGAACGCACAGGTTCAGGGCCGATGGGGAACTAGTACGAATGTTCGGTAATTGGGAACGGGCGAGGGCCGAAAAGGGGGCCGCGGACAGAGGGGGAAAAGGCCGGTGGAAAGGGCCAAGCAGGGCAGGCGCCCACGGGACAGCAAGGGGAAAAGAAGAGAAAGAGAGAGAGAGAGAGAGAAAAAAAAAAAAAACAAAAAAAAAAAAAAAAAAAAAAAACGGGGGACATATGGAAAACATAGACAGAGAGCGACAGAGAGCGAGAGGGAGACAGAAAGAGGAGGATATCGAGACAGAGAGAGAGAGAGAGAAAGAGAGTGAGAGAGAGAGAGAGTGAGAGAGAGAGGGGAAAAGAAAGGAAAGAGAGAGAGGGGGGGAAAAGGTCAGTCCGTCCGCGCGGGGCCGGGTCAGTCCGTCCGCGGTCCCAAACTGGATTCGAGCGCAGTCCCCGTTGTAGCACTTGCGTAGGCGAAGGTATCTGATCATCGAGCCAAGCTCTCGCGGGCTCGCTCCTGAGAAGAACCTCGCTGGCGCGATTGCCCCGCTTTCTGCTGGATCTCCGCTGACTCCGAGAGGGGTGTCTTTGAGCGCGGCGCGCGCGATGCACAAATGTGGAGGGCCCAGATCCGCTTCTGCCGCCTGAGTAGCCGCCGCCCGCGAGCACCGCTCGCCCGCGCCCATTCCCACCTCGACAACATCCGACGCCGTCGGCGCCGCGATGCCGATCCACTCCGAGGCCGCCATGACCCTGGTAAGCTGCGCGCGCTGGCACGCCATCTTGAACAGAAGGCACGCCATCAGCAGGTCGGCGGCCACGCGCAGCCGACCCCGCACAGGCACCCGCACTACTCGTGAGCGGGGCGGCGCGGGCGGCGGAGGTGTAGATTTCAGCGAAGGGATGTGAACTGCTGATTTGATATCCTGCGATCTGAGCGCGCCTTCGACTGCCGCGAGGCCGTCGTCCGCGTCCTCGGCCACGTCTCCCCTCCTGCGCCGCGGATCTCGCCCTGCCCCCCTCCCGCGGCCGCCTCGCCCATCGGGCGGGTGCCGCCTCAAGGTTGCGCTCTGGTCCACGTTGCCGCTGCCGCCGGATCCGGGCGCCGCGCTGTCGGGCCATCTCCTACGATCTTCAGATCGGGCACTCCAGATTTCGTAATAAAGGGAGGGGGGTCTCATTTCGGGGGGGGGTCTCTTCCAGGCTATCTTGGAGGGCCTGGGGGGTCTGGGGACGATGTTTTGGAGGGTTCTCCCACGGGGGAGGTCTGAAATGGCATGTCTTGGAGGGTCCAGACCCCCTCCCTTTTATTACGAAATCTGGAGCAAGCACAGCGCCACCGAAAATCAGTGTAACTCCACAGGGTCTCGAACCGCGCAGCCACGGATCGGGCACGAGAAGTCGCTCGGATCGGTCACTTCGCAGGCCATGTAAGAGCTACGGCCACGAAAGCAAACGTATGTTTGATGAGATCGCACAACGCGTCGCTGAGCGTTTCCTCGAACACTGAGAGCCTGGAGACACCTGAAACACTGGTTCGTGACCGTCAATAGAGAGGCCTCGTTCCTAACTCTGCGAGCACGGCCCGCATGGAGAGCAGGCGTGCTTTCATCGTCGGGAACGTCTCGCCACATCGCTGTCCGTCGTCGTTTTTGAAGTCGCAGTGAAATCGCCTCGGTACATCGCCCCCCTCATTCACCGCAGCACGTCGGTGCCCCCCCGTGGCCATCGAGCCCCGGAGCCCAGGACATAGGCTCCGACCCGGAGAAGGCTAGAGGGACATTTCGCCCAGGTCTGGCGCCACTTGGCCCGTCGGAGCCTCAACTCCTGTCGTGGACAGGATGCGCCAGGAGGTCCACAAGTCTCTCGCCGACCAACCTCGGAGTTCATCATCGGAACGTTCGCGGAGTCCTCGCTTGCCTAAGCCTCTTCGCATCGCCCTCATCATGATATTGTCGCAATCGGCCGAATACGTGTCATCATAGACTCGCCCCTCGATCCCCGACAGGAGGGCCGACTGCACAAAAACATGAATACTCATACGTTTCATACGCGTCGTCGCATTTTGAACCAAGAACTTAGAAATCAATCCCAAACCGGCTCGGCCCGCTTGGAACCGCTTCGCGTTCTCGACCTGCAGGGACCCCGAGCTCGTCAACCCCCCTCCAAGACTCCGCAAGAACCTGGCGCACCGTCCTGGGTATGGAATAGCGCCCCCCAAAGAGAAGCCGTCGTTGTTGTTCACTGCCTGGTCCGAATAGTCGAGCAAGTGTGGCACGCTTGCCTGGGTTAAGGCCAACTGTAGACTGCTGCTTCCGCTTGAGCAAGCAAGGGCACTGCCTCGCCGCAGCTGCTGCGTGGTGGGGGCACCCAGCCTGGGATAACTCACTTCGTGATGTCGTCGGCGAACATCGAGATTCCGACGTCCGTGCTGAGTCCGTTCGCCTCGGTCGCTTCGGCGCACTGGTAAGAACAAGTCGGTGACCGATGTGCGAGATACTGTTGGACCCCCTTGCACATAATAGTATGGAAACGCTCCAGCAGGGTTCGGGTGTCCCATCATCTTCCCCGTCGTAGGCCTCAACGAAATCAAACCCTTGGAAGTTTCAAAATGTACGGCCTTCTGGATGGTCCGAGAGTGTTGGAAGCGGGGGTCTGATGGGTCGTAGAATCCCCCGACAAATCTAGAACTGGTTCCCTTTTTACTCTGGCGAATGCGCGCGTCGCATCCTCATTCGCAATGGCGTGTGAGATGCCCTGACGCTGAAACCGACAAGACAAACAAGTTTGAACTGTCATCGCATCCTCACGTCGCCAGTGCCGTGCAAACACATGACAATAGTAGGGTAGTTTGCTCTCACCCTTCGCGTCCACGATGCCAAAGGAAGGCGTTCCAGGATTCCTCAATCGGACAACGAAATGTATCCAACGTTGGCAGACTGGGCCGATCTTTCCATTCCGCTTGTCCAAGCCAAGGGATTTAGAAATATATCGAAAAGCCGAGGTGCAGCCATCGCTCGAGGGGACCTCGCGATGATGCCCTCGAAGCGCTCACAAGAAACAGTCGCCGTCTCTGGGGTCAAATCGAACCCTACTCCGCCTCGTGCTTATTTCGTTCACTGCTCTGTGTCCAAGATGAGAAACCACAGCTCAGACGACATAGACGAGGGAGGCGACGCCCGTCGTTCAGATGATCTCCGAAGCTCCGTCACAATTCCCATGAAATAAAGGCAAGATCGCTGAACTGCATGGCAGTGTAGCGCTGCTAGTCCGCGCGGTATCGTTCGTCATCCGTCTGTGTGCTCGATCAAACCGTTCGGTGAGATCTGCCGTCAGATCGCAATCAGTGGCGCCCAGTCCCCCACTTCGAGCAGAGGTCTTGGGGAAGCTGGCCACCTCGTCTGCTTCGCATTTCTCGTCCCTCACCATGAAGTAACGCCTCTGCCGTGGTGCGCGTCCCCGTCGCGCGAACCGACGAACCAGTCGTTGCATTGTATTGTGGCCGTGCTCGGCACAGGCGGCGTTCAGCACCGTCGTGGAGGAGGGGGAGGAGGAGGAGGAGGAGGAGGAGGGCGCGAGAAAGAGAGAGAAAGAGAGAGAGGGAGAGAAAGAAAAAGACAGACGGCCCCGAGGGCGCTGCGTGGAGCGGCGCGCGAGGTCGGCGACGGGACCCCCACCCCCCCGCAGCGCGGCAAGC